CTGAAGTAAGACTTTAAATTACAGTTCATCACTTTTCTCCAAATACCAGCAAAATAACCAACAGAAGAAACTGTGACACTAAGGAAATTACCTCAGTAAGAAAGTACTCCTCGTGCTTGACTTCAGCTGCTCTTCGCACAAATGCGTCAAAAGGCAGAGTTCTGAAATAGAAATATTTGAATTTATACCATGAGTCAGTGTAACAACACATGGTCTAAACTCTAGATTTATAATAAGCTCCCTTACCATATCAGGTGCAATGGAAGATGCAATAGGCTGCTCTCTTATTTTTTAAATTAATATGATGACTAATCAGTGTTTGCAGCAGGTGTTTGAAGAGTTCTCCCAAGACAGAAATCCTACACTTAGAAACTTCTCTGTTTCAGTGACTTGTTCCAGTATATATCCAAACAATCCTGTAGTAGCTGAGGCTGGAAGCACCCTTGGAGCTCCTCCAGCCCAAGCCCCTTGCAAAGAGCAGGGTTCACTACAGCAGCTTGCACAGGACAGCATCCAGTTCTGTTTCATGGATCTCCAAGGATGGAGACTCCATAATCTCTCTAGGAAACATGTTGCATTTGTTCCATTGTTTGAGTAACCTGACTGTAAAACAGTGTGTCTGTGTGTGTTGAAGGGGTTGACAGAATTTCCTGTATTTCAGCTTGTGCCCATGGCCTCTTGTCCTGTCACCATGGACCACAGAGGATCTGGCTCCGTCAACTGTTCATTCACTTTGTTAAGATCCCCCCTTGAGCTTAGGAGTTCTGAATGGTCTGAGTCACAGAACAAAACATTTTTCACAGTCAAATTAAGACTCAAACTGTGGCAATACTTGCTTAACTGTTTAGGTGTGTCATTTTTAGGCTTGTTTACTGTACATTTTTCTAAATTTGCAGAAAAGCTCAGCATCAATAAAACTCCCACAGGGAAGACGCACATATTTGTATCTATGCATTTTCTGCTATGAATTTGTGCAGGAATACAGGTAATTACCTTCATTTGTACATCTATAAAATTCAGTTATATGGATTTTTTTAAAATATATGCTTTCTCAGCTCCTCAAAACACAGGCATCTCAATATTTCAAATGTTTCTTTGCAGCTTTCCTTAAATGTACTAAACACAGCTTTAGAAGATTCAAGAAGAGTAACTGGGCATTAGAGCTGGTTCCTCTGAAGTCAGTAAGTGTGTTACATATTTATCTACATAATGGGGGCTTTTCATGCAGATTACAGATTTTGGTATCAATTGACAGCTGAATGGCAAACCAAACACAATCAGCAACAGGACATGCAATTCATTATTATGAATTCAATGTTACATTCATGCAGCTCACCATCTCACACTAAGTGTCACTGGATAATTAACTATTGCAAGTAAATATCATTTCACAGCAACCACCAAGTACCCAGGGTTAAGAAGAAACCATTTTCAAGCAAAATTTTTCTTGATCCTGTTATCTTTTTTACTAGAATGTGAACCTGCATCTGACAATACTTAAACCAGTTCTCGAAACATTTTAGGCTTGCTTGGAATAGGCAAATGCAAAACCCACTGAAGTCAATGGAAAACCAAACAAAACCCAATGCTCTGACTTCAGCCAAACTGTTCTATCATGTCTGCTGCTGAAGAAAGTGAGAGCACAGCTCTCACTACAGCTTAAACTAATGCATTTTGGTGCTACCACAGCTCTGCCCTTGCTATCTGCCCTCATCACCCCATCTCCCCCCTTACAGTAGCACTGGCACTCATCTGACCCCCCTGTGAACCTGCTTACAAAGCTAAAACAGCAGAAAACCATTCAGATTTCTGCTGCACATCACAACCTGGCTGGATGAGTTCCAGAACCAACACAAAAACAGGGCTAGGAGCATGCAACTCACAACAGAACTGCAGTACTACTGATGTTCATCAGTTTAAACTAATGGAACTGCATGTTGAGTCCTCAGAGTTTCTATTCTTTAGTTTCTACTTACTGTCCCTTCAGATTAGAATGAGGGGCTTGCTGTGGAAAAAGTCAAAGTTTCCTGAATTTCAAGTGAAGTATGTGAAAGTCCTGACACCTGCTTTAATGAAACACCATCAGAGCATCAGAGAGTCCATTTGGTTGTCTACAAACCTGCTAAAACTAAGACTCCAGAACAACTGTATGTGAACTCACAGCAAGGGATACTAAAAAAACCCAAAACAGAGCAGGGGGTATAAAGAATGGAGATAAGACAAAGTTATTCAAGTACTCCCTCATTTCAGAGATTCAATATTTCATTGTGCAGTGAGCAGAATGCATCATGGTTGTAATTGGTGTTTATTCCCTGAACAACAGGCTCCACTCAGACTTGTGGCTTGTTTACAGCATATGCTCCCACCTGCTTAAAAGTTTAACACACTGAGCACATCCTGTTCCCACCTGGGGAAAACAAAAACTGCTAAAATTAAGGCATTTACCCTTGAAGACAACCCAATGACTCAGACTAGATGAACTCTGAAGATATGTTCTGGCAGTTACATAAGAGAAGCTCCAGAGGAGATCAAGGTTTTTTGTGGCCCACATCAAGATTGAAGAGCTGGTGAAATGTCTGGTATCCAGTGGTCTGAGCATTCTGAAAGCTGCACATGCTAACTTTGAAAGGAGCTTGGATTTAACCAGTTACACCTTTTCTGGAGTGGAATACCATGGCTGGCACACACACACCAGCATTCAAAGGGCATCAGACACACAGTGAGTCAGAAATTGTCACTATTTAGTAACACTGAGAATGCACCACATAACTACAACAAATACCAGGCTATCAAGCATAGATATCAAGGGTGGTTTGGTTTGTTTTTAATTAATGTCTGCAAATGCTAGACTCAAATTTCCTAAAACAGTGCTCTGACAAAATAACTTTGCAACACTTCGTGACACCATTTTAAAGGTGCTGTTTGGCCCCTCATTTCACCCTCATTGTATTTATTCAGGCTGTAGAATTAACAGAAGAGGGAGAAACCCAGGACAACCCTTTGATACATAATGTAATGTTTTCACAAACTATCTTCCCATTCCCACCCTCAGCTCCAAACAGATGCACTGTATGTCTGTAAGTTACAAGCACATGCCTTTAAAATGTAAGAGACTTTGGAGTGAAGTACCTATACACAAAGTTCTTACTGAGGAAATCCATCTGTGGCACTGCAGAAACATGAATCTTTACTTCTTTAGATCCTTCAGCTTGGCTCAAGTAATCTATTGTCCATTTGGTGGTGCAAGTGCCCAGTTCCAGTCCTGTCAGCACTACTGGCTTTCTCTAAGGAACAACAACAACAACAAAATTCAGTGGTGAATTATCACAGCATCCAACAGAAAAAAAAAAAGAATGAATTTTTCAAATTACATGGAAGGAAATGTTTCTTTGTAAGTGTTGTAAATGTTTTTTACACAAGGTTACAACTAATCTGTTCACAAAAAATGTGAATCAAATGCTGAAAGTTGAAACAAAATGCAGCAAATTATGGAACTGTTTCTCTATTAACTACATGTTCTTTCCTAGTTGGGTAAGGAAGGATATGGAGAGGCAGAGACAATTATAGCCCACACTTTGTGCTGGGGCCATTTAGGAATCCATTCGGATGAAGGACTAGATTTAATCCTTCTAGCCGAGGCTTAGCACAAAACATGTAAAAGCCGACACAGTTAAGGCGCAGCCTGTGAGCTGTGGTGATGCTGTTATGTTCTCATGAGAGAAAGAAGTTCTTTCCACCTGTTCCAGGTTCCTCGCTGCTCACAACCACAAACAAGTTTGATCCAGCCCGCACACAAAAAGCAGGAAGACACTTTTGCTTTTAATTGGGACCTCGGAGGGTGGGAGGATAAAACAAGAGGTGAAAAAGCAACAAAACTAACGAGCACGCTTTTTAACCACTGCCAAACGCACTGGACTCTTACAGAGATCACCTGTCGGGTTGGACAGCTCAGACAGGACCTGCCTATAGAAGCTCCTTGCTCCTAAACTCCCTCAATAGATCAGGGCACCTTTCCGGGAACACACAAACGCAAACCCTGGGGTTGGCCTGCCCCAGCAGTGCCCGCTGAGGGGGAGTCTCCGGACACCGCCTGCCTTGCCCTGTGTCGCCGTGGAGGCCCGGCCGCCCCGTACCCGCGGGTAGATGTCCCGCAGGAAGCGCTCCCGTGTCACCCCGTCCAGCCGCTCCACGGCCTCCGCCCGCCGCTCCATGGCCCGGGCACCGCGTCCGCCCCGCCGCTTCCCCCGGAAAGAAGAGCCCGCGCAGAAGCGTTCCTGCCTCGCCCCCTGGGCAAGGGCCGGGACCCGCGGATCAAGGAATTGTCAGGGTTGGAAGGGATCTCTGGAGCACCGAGTCCAACCCCTGCCATGGCAGGGTCACCTGCAGCAGGTGACACAGGAACATGTCCAGGTGGGGTTTGAATGTCTCCAGATACAGAGACTCCATGGCTTCCCTGGGCAGCCAGTTCCAGTGTTCTGCCACCCTCAATGAAAGTAAGTTCTTTTTCAAGCTGAGGTGGAGCTTATTATGTTTTAGTTTACGGCCGTTACTCTTCGTCCTGTCACTGAGCACCACTGAGAAGTGTCTGGCACCATCTCTTGGCACCCGCCTTTGAGGTATTTCTGTGCATCCATGAGATCCGCTCACAATCTCCTCAGACTGAACAGGCCCAGCTCCCGCAGTCTCTCCTCACGAGCAGAGATGCTGCAGCCCCTGCCACATCGTTGTGCCATCCGCTGGCCTCTCCCCAGCTGCTCCTTGCCTCTTTGTACTGCGAAGCCCAGAACTGGACACCGCACCCAGACGCGATCCCAGCAGGGCCAGCAGAGGGGAGGCCGCCCCTCTCCGGCGGTGACCGGGGCTCGGGTCCCCTGACCCGGCGCGGCCGCAGCCGCCGGCAGCTGGGACCGCTCCGCCTGCGCCGGAACCAGCGGTGGCCGCAGCCGTGTTTCCGGGGAGCGGGAGTTGCTGCGGACAGGGCGGGGCCGCGCCGGGCCATCATGGCGCTGCGCTGCACGGCTCCGGGCCGTGTCCGCTGGCTGGCGCGGGCGCTGGCGGGCTCCGCCCGGCTCCTGCCGCCGGCTGCAGCCGCACCGGGCCCGCCGGGCCCCGCCCGCACCCGTCCGCCCCAGCTCAGCGCCCAGGCTCGGTTCGCCAGCAGCGCCGGGTCTGGGACCGAGGGCCCTCAGCGGCGTGTTGTGGTAGTGAGGATCACCAGCCCCTTCGCCTGGCTCCGCACCCGCTTCTACTACCTGCTCATCCGCCTCTACTTCGACCACGAATTCAGCATCGAGGAGTTCACGCGGGGAGCCAAGCAGGTGAGCGGGCCTGGGGCCTCGGGGCGAGGAGCGCGGCCGGCCTGAGGGGAAGGAAGGGTCCTGCTCACCCTCCACAGGGGCTGCCGGTGCAGCCCCTGGTTCTGTAATTTCGTGGAGTTATAGAATCAGTTAGGCTGGAGAAGGTTTCTGGGATAGTCACGGATTCACAGAACGGGTGAGGTAGGAATAGGTCACAGTGGGTTATCTGCTCCATCCTCCCTGCTCCAGCAAGGTCGTCCTAGAGCACATGGCCCTGGATTGTGTCCAGACAGGTCTAGAATGTCTGCAGTGGGGAACACTCTACAACCTCTGGGCAATCTGTTCCAGTGCTTGGTCACACTCAGAGTAAAGAAGTCCTTCCTTGTGTTCAGGTGGAACTTGTGTGCATCAGTTTCTGCGCATTGCCTCTTGTCCTGTTGCTTGGCGCCACGGAGCAGATCCTGGTCCATGCTCGTGGCACTCACCCCCTGTAAATATTTATACACATTGATGAGGTCTCTCTCAGCCATCTCCTCTTGAGGCTGAACAAGTCCCATCAGCTTTTCCTGGAGGAGAGATGCTCCAGTCCCCAATCCTTGCTGCTGGACCCACTCCAGGAGCTCTGTGGCTGTGTTGTACCTTGAGTCCAACATATCACCAAACACCACTTTATCAGCCAGTTTCTGGCATCAGTGCCATGTCCACTCTTTCTTTAAACATTTCCAGGGATGATGACTCCACCACCTCCCTGGGCAGCTCATTTCAATGTGTGACAACCTTTTCCACGAAGAAATTCCTCCTGTTGTCCAGCCTGATGTTATTTATTACATGTGGACATCATAGCACAAATGTGCTCCTTTGTGTAAAATACATGGAGTTCTCCCCTGCTGGCTCCAAGCACCACACTTCAAGGCAAATGATATAAGCAGAGCTTTACTTTCCCTCAGGAATTTCTTGTTTTCCCAGATTCCACAATTCAAATGAACTGGTTAAACCATCCCCCAAAGTAGCCTGAAGGAAGGTGCTTCCAAATGTTGTAGAGACTTTAAGGAGCAGTGTGTCTCCTCTTAGCAGGTTTTCCTGAAATGATCAAGCTTAGACAGGCATAGAGCTGGTGTATATATATTTATTTCTCCAAATTTATGAGCCCAGTAAGCCTTGTCAACAGAATGTGTCAGAGAGGTAAGTATCTCAAAGTTAGTCATATAAAAATTACAGAGTTAGCTGTTGGGAAACTTTTTCTTATTATGTTTACATTTACAAAAAAAAAAAAAAAAACAGCTCAAAATAACACCTTGGGGGGAAAAATGTTAAAATGATTAGGATCAGTTCAAGAGAGGAAAAAACCCACAACAAATAATTTGACACATGTGTGGAACCACCTGTTTTACCTTGGTCTGTTTTTTTGAGGTTTTGTTTTGGTGTTTGTTTTTACTTGGTGTAGAGTCCTAAATACACTGTCCTTCACAAGTGCACTACTTGAGTGTGTAGAGGCATAATTGTATGTAAATATGCCTGCAAAATTGAGGGGAGAAAGGAGAGCTGAGCTTCCTGAAGTCTAGAGACTAAACCAGATTTGTAAAGAAAATTTGTAAATTGCAGCATCAGTTTTGATTGAAACCAGAAGATGAATGAGAAAAGAGGGCAGGGGAACAAAATATCTACAGGGAAAGACACAGACTGTTTGAATTATCAAAATGACTAAAAGCAACATGCAAAATTCTGCAAAGCTTTTTTTTCTTTTTTAATTCACCTGTTGGAAGCTTTGATGTTTTAAATAAGAAATGGAAAAGAACTCATATTTTTATCAATTCATTAAATGACTCTTGTAATGCTTTAGGGGTTACATTTCAATTGTGATACCCTCTGCAAGTATTGAAATCTTAAATCACAGAATATTTGGGTAGCTTGTCGTATACTTATGGATTTGTCTGAAAAGTAAGCCAGCCTAGAGTTACTTGTTCATGTTTGGTTTTTGATTCTGTTTTATTTTGGTAGGCCTTTTCTGTTGTTTCAAAGCTGCTGTCTCAGCGTAAACTTGACCTGCTGGAAGAACTTGTATCAGCAGAGGTAAATGCTTTCCATCTCCTATCCTAGCAGTTGATTGTCTGTTACAAAGTTAACAGGGATGCATTCAGCCTGGCATTACCTACAAGTTGCCAGTTTGGTTTAATTTGGGAAAAACAGCGTAATGTGACATAGGGTGGGCAATTTTTTTGTCCTACAACTTTTTAATGTTTATTTCAAGGCCTGAAACTTAATTTGAAGTTGTTGTACTTAAAATAAAATATATTTTAGCTGTTGAGCGTAAGGACCAAATGCCAGAATGATTGCTGGTGTACCAGGAAGGATGGAAAGGCTGCAGGCTCTGGATGGCAGGTGGAATTGTGTGTCTCTAGGTGTAGGCAGGTGGCTGAAGCTGGCTCAGTCTGTGCACCAGAATTCATGTGAAAAAGGAAACTGGTTTGTGCTCATCCCTGCTGCAGTGATACATTCCCACCCCCATCAGATCATAGAGCTGATTACTGGTTTTGGCTGGAAGGCCTCAGTCTTGTGTCATGGTCTCAGGGATGTGACTGACCTGGTTAAACATCAGTGCTGTGTTTTCTGTGTTTCTATGAATTTTTAATTGCTGAAGTTGTCTTGGCCTTCCCAGGGCATGGAGGTAACATGCATGAGAGTCAAGTGGAGGAGACACTCCAGGTCTCTGTCTGCCTTGTTACAGGATGTCAGCATGGCCTGTCCTATTGCCACCCATGCCTTTGCAGCAAAAACTCTGGTGCTGTTGTAGTGCATCCCCTCTGAACAATGTTGCCTCCTCTCTCTGAACACAGATAGCAATAAAACGTGAGTTTGTTTCTTGCAGTTGTTCTGAAAGGACATCTCCTCTGCTCCCTCTTGAAAGAACTTGCTCTGGTGGCTGTAAATTTTTCAGGTTTACATTGATGCAGAGATTTCATGTGAGCCAAGGGTGTAGTAGATGAGGCTGTGATCCCAGGCTACTTTGTCATTTTTTGGCCAGTGAATCATGTACCTGCAAAATGTACTAGAAATCAATGTCTCCTTGTGAAGATTGCCTATTGCTTCCATGTAGCCTCTGCATTTGTTTGTTATTCAAAAATGGTAGATCAAGTTAGGGTAAAAAAATTAGTTAATAATAAGTTCTGTAGTTTCATCCTTTCTTGTGATTTGACTTTCTCATGTGGTGTTTGGGTGCTACCTCTGTGCAGTTTTTGCACCCCACCATTTTCTACTTACACAGCTGTGTGGATCACAGGACACTTAGATAATATGGATGTGAGTGTCGTAAGGACATTAATTACCAGGGGAACAATTTTCAGCCAAGTCTGATTTGCAAGTGTTTAAGCTTTTTCTAAATGGAGTATGGATCACAAAATGGCAAAGATAATCTCATTGGTAATGAAACTGATTTTCAAGGAAATTTGTGAGAGATAGCTCAAAGATACCGAATCCAAAGCTTAGGAACCTGCACACAGTGAGGATTCAGCAGTGAGAAGGCAGAGTGTGACTGTGGAGCCAGCTTCACTGGGCTCTTCTGGGCTCACATGGCTTGTGTTGCTGCTGCTGTTTTGACAGTACCTTTTCTAAACATTTTTTGAGATGCTTGGTTTTCATTTGTTTTGAGCAGTAAATGGAGCTTCTTCAATGCTGCTGAATTAGGGTTTAGGAGTGCCCAAACTTCCCAGTGCTTTTTCACTTTAGCTGTTACATGTGTTAGACAAATGTTTTAGCAATACAGCTCATTTTATTAACTGCAGTAGAAATAGATTGTTACTTACATTTCCTAATGAAAAACTAAGTGACAGTTTTTCTGAATTTAGGTACTTCAGGTGCTGAAGGAAAAGATTTCTTTGCTCCCTGACAGCCACAGGGATGCTTTAGCAGCTGACATTGATGCAATCATGTACACAACTGAAGGAGATGTTCGCATTTACTATGATGATGATGGTATGTTTAGAACCCTAAAACATTTCAGCAGTGAGCAGTCTTATTTCCTGGTTTTGCTACTAAACAGACATTTTCCATGCAGATGTGGTTTTGAGTACTGTTTCTCATCCCTTGTTTCTCAATTAGTAATTCATCCATATAAAATTTCTTTATTTCCTTTTTAATCAGAGGCAGAGATTATTGTTAATACATCATGGTACTGTTTTGACTTCTGTCTGGGTTTTCCCTTCTTTTGAACAGAATTTTATATTATTAGTCCTCAGTAATGTGAAACAATTATTCAAAAACAATTATTCTAATATATGCTGAAAGCTGTTTGCTTCAACACTGAAAATGCATCCTGCATTGCTCCCTGCAAGAAGAATAGTGAAGGCTGCATAATTAAGTAAATTTTGCTGGTTTAGTCTTTCTGTCATGAAATACACTTTGTTCTAGGACTCCTTGATCGGTTTGGGATTTTTTAAGCTCATGCTGAGCTCAGACATGTTTTTCTTTTTGTTGGATACCTGCACTGTGTGCTCTGTTCACTATCAGTTCACTATCAGACACAGTGGAGATAATGTGTGGATCTAACCCTGGGTCTTCAGTTGAGCATTTCAAGTTGTCAGACCCAGTAAGCATTTTTCCTGGTTTGGGAAATAGGAATTTATTTTCCCTCTCTTAGATTGCTCTCCTGTTTGAACTACTCTGCACACATTTGTTGTATCAGTAGTTAGCTTTGGAATTTGTGGGAACCAAATTTTTTAATAGTTTCATTATATGCACTGTCACACCATGCTCGTGGTAAAATACATATTTTTTTACAGAGTGTATTTTTATTGCTGCTAAACAGCATGAGTATGGCATAAAATAGCTTTATTACTCATTATTCTATCCTGTATTCTTTATGGCTGAAGTCAGCTGTCCTTCCTAGGGTCTCACTAGAATATATGCTAGGTAGCAAATAGGAGCATTTGACTGCTGAGAAACATGAGATCTAACTTAAGTTTTGATTTATTTCCAACAGGAAGAAAGTTTGTTAGCATCCTGATGTGCTTCTGGTATCTGAATGGTGCTAATCTACCTGACGAAGTACCAGGTGAAGCCAAAGTCTTCCAGATTGTGTTTGGAGATGAAAACACAAAAGAGAAGAAACATCTTTTAACAGCCAACTATGAGTAAGCTTGCTTGTCCCTTTCTTTTCTCATGTTCATGAGGTACCTGTGGGGTAGGCAGTTCTGCAGGCACTCCCACTGTGCCACTGCAGAACCCACTGGTTTTAATTTTCTCTGATTCTAATCTAAGTTAATTCTCATCCAGCTTTTCAGTTTTGGTTTTAGGGCAAATTTTTTTTAATACCCCTAATGTCATTATGTTTTTTCCTTGCTTCTGGGTTGATATTAATGAGAACTCTTCCTCTGTAAGGAAGAGTGGTATTTGGAGCACTGAATGAGATTTCTGATCCTCAAAGCACACATTAGGAAGATGGATTTTCATAGGAATGCTTATAAATAATGTCTGTGTTGGTGTACTGATGTCAGAGCAGTGCAGAAAATGTCTACACAGTTGGAAAAATGTATTGAAAATAAGATTCTCAGAAGCTGGGAGAAGTGAGGATTTTTGTGTGAGGATGTGGTATGATCAAGGATTTCTACACCCACATTTTAAATTGAAAACTTGAGTCTAGGTGATGAGGAGCTCTGAAACAAAGGTAACACTCATGAGGAGACCAGTGCTTTTTGCCTGGGTAGATTGTTGCGGATCCGTCCTTCAACTGAATTCAGCATCTTCCTTAGAGCTGGAGATTTCTGAAGTTCCATTAACCTTGAGAGCCTTCCCTTTAAGCCTAAATATCTTCCCAATCCCACTTTGCAAGAGTGGATTTGCACAGGCTTGCAAAGCAGTGATATTATACTGCTCTTGTCCATGACATGCAGATCATTTGAGAACATGAGAATCACCTTGAAGCTCAGACTTGTCTCTAGATAGGGGAGACTCAGTGCTACTGTTAACTCAATCTTTGATGTAGTTCTGAAAATGTATTACCTTTTAAACTACACTTCAGGAAAGAGGAAAATTTTCAAGTAAAATATGGAGCACATGATTTTCTTTCACTTACCATCCCATTAAATGAGACCCTTTACTTACAGATCAAGATCTTCTCTAAAGTTTACTCATATTCCTGCTGTGAGAGCTGAGTGTTTTCTTGGTATCAGGGTCTTTATAGTTGCTGCTTGATCTTGTCTGTGGGATCTGAACCAAAATGCTCTGAAGTCAATGAATTCTGTTTCTTACTTTGGAAATAATTTTTATCTTCCATTTTGGGGCATAAGCATGAAAGTTTAAGTAGCTTTTACAGCAATAAGTTTGAAGTAAAATATTTCTTCATCATGCCCTGTAGCTCCTTAAGGTCAATTAAATCTTAACAGCTCTTCCCTTATTATTTTTCCCTTTTCAGGTTCCAAAGGGAGTTTACAGAAGGAGCAAAACCAGACTGGACTATTACACGGATTGAACATCCAAGGCTATTAGAATAAATGCCTTCTTACAGCCTTTTTATGTACCACTGTAATTGTTTTGATGTAACAAATACCAGGCTTTTTGGGGTCTTTTTTTCCCTTCCTGCCCTTTCCTCCAAAAGAGGGACAAATTTTCTATGTATGATTTCCAAAAATTCTTTCTGAAGCTTGCACTGTGCTGCAGTGTTACAGCAAAGCCTTTTCCCTGGAACAGGCTGGTAGAAATTTAATTGGTTCCAGTGCTCATCCAAGGCATTTAGACAGCACAGTTTCATTCAGGCAGGTGTAATGGATATGCTAATTTCTTACATTCTGACAAGAAATGGTACTATTTGAAAATAAACAACACTTAAATGATTGATGGCCTCTCTGAGTTACTTTCCTATGTTTTTTTCCCTAGGGACTGTACAATGTATAACTGAATAATATGCAAGATGAAATAGAGGTAGATGGACTTCTTAGCTTGTCTAGCCTCAGCAGTTCCTTTCGAGGTAATCTTGCTTTTGAATATATTTGAGGTTAAGAAAGTTAGAGCTGCTATTAGTATTTGCTACAGGATTGGAGAAAGAAAAGGCTTTTAGCATTGCACTGGGAAAATGGATCAAACATATGCATGTTTTGGAAAATTTAAAAAAAACCATTCCTTTCAATTCAGAAATATATGGGCAATTCCAAGTTTAGAGAATTATGGAAGAAAAATCAGTTGAAAACATTAATTTAAAGGGGACATGACAGTGAAGTTAAGTCCTCTGTTTGAAATGTATGTTAAAGAAATTTTCAAATCCTTACAATTAAATGTTGCAACTGAACAATTTCCTAGTTGCCACTTTCTCTCTGGTTTCTGGAACATGAGAATCCTGGTGTAAGTAGCTGGACGCTTTTCTATGCAGATCAACAGGAGACCATAACAGGTTTCTTTATCCCCTATATCATCTTCAAATATAAAGCTAACTTTCTACCAAGGCATGTTGTAGACATTAGTGCAGTGTTTTGAAAGTGTTAAGTGTAATTACTAAGATTCATAGTAATTGTAATTGAAGGTATAAATTAAATTTTCCATAGTTCAGCTCTTTTGATCCAATGACTTAATGAGAGGAACATCTAAAGCTTATCAACTAGTTGATAACATACTTTTGCTGCAAAAGATGTGATTGGAAATTTACATGCACCATTTTATTCTTTTGAAGTTGTTTATGTCTTGTGGGTTGGAGCCAAAGGGGGCAGCAGTTTGGGGTTTTTTCCCTGCTTCTGATCTTCAGTTAAAAACTTATCCTGGACACTGCAAATCTCCAACAGACACAGAACTACCCGTGGATTTATTGCACCATAAATAAATCAGAAAGGCATATAAATGACTAAGCTTGCTGTATTGGAAAATGGCATTCTCCCCCACTGAATAAAACTGGTGTAGTTAAACTGGATTTATAGTCTCATACTGGCTTCAGTAGAAAAAACACCACCCTACCCCAGAAAAACCTTCACAAACCAGCCCCAAACCCAACTTTCAATGGACAAATGTGGAAGGTTTGCCTCATTTTACCTGCCATCCATAAATTCTCTGTCATAAATCTGATCATCATAGCAATTAATCAGACTGACGTGATGGCCACTGAAGGGCATTTGTCATTTTATGGCATCCACATTTTCTTTTGTGGAAATACTTTCTTCTGTGTCATTTGTTCAAGCAAAACAAGAACTTCTGGTTTCTATATTGCTATCAAAAAGTAGCAATAAGCAATTATTTTAGTATAGTGGCTCCTAGTGAATATATTTCTCTATGCTATCAAGGTTGCCAGAAATTCTTATGGCAAAAAGGATGAGTAAAGAGTTTACTTTACTTCATCTCAAAGATGGAGAGAATATTGTCTTGTAATTTGGGGATTTCCAGAGCTGCCACTCAAATACCTTACTCTAAAAATCATAATGCTATCTTAAGTGTTACAGAATTTGAAAAAAAGACCTAAAGAAAGTGTCTTATTAAAAACATCTTCCTGATTTGGGAATAATAATGCTCAGCAGGTAACAATAGAGCAGTGTGGGGAGCTCTGTGTCATAGCTTGCTATTGCTCCGTTTCCCTTGCTGATCAGTTTCAGACATCACCTTGGAAATGACAGTGTGTAAGGATAAGGGTGTGCTTCATTTCCCTTCAGTTTCCTTGCCTGGTGTCCATTTCTGTTGCCTAATGCCTGGGGCCAAGTACAATTGTAACTATGGTGTGCAGCCATAATAAATAAATCCCCATTTCAAATGTTTGCAGTTCTAGCCTACAAATTCCTTTCAGACCCCATTAATTCTTGAATTGAAAACAATGTTACCAGTTTGGTAGTGATTTTGGGGGTAAAATTCATATCTCTATTAGCAACACTGACATGTCTGATTTTACACAGAGCAGTGAGGTGACATGGTGTCTGGACTACAACAGGATGCAGATTCAGAGTTCCACACTCTTCTCCCCTGGGCAACATCATGGTTCTTTAGGTCCATGTGGAGTTGGGAATTTTTTATTTGTTCATCCAAAACTGCGATCATATTTAATAATTCCTGACAGTTGCCTGGCACAATTTCGATACATGTGCCTAAATCTTGACAAGCACTAATTAAATCAGGCCAACAAACCTCCCATTAATTCACACACCCCACTCACCAGTAGATGGCCTTGGTCACAAAGCTGTTGTGGCTGGGAAGTAAGTGATACTAAGGAAACTGTAAGCAGGGTAAAGGTTAAAATGGTAGAAGCATTAAATGCTATTTCAATAATTCAGATTTGTCTTATTAAAAAGTCTTGATATTTTCTCTGACTTTCATTGTGAGTCAACGATGGTGTCTTGTGTTCTCTCTAAAGTGCCTGCCCTTTTTAAGGTGGCAATTTATCTGCATTCTTAATGTGGGAAAGATGTGCTGTATGTGTGAATTTACACAGGCACCTCTGTGGCTGACAGTGGCAAAGCTAATTTTTAATATTTAAATTTTAAAATATGTTTATTATGTTGATTGTGGGTCCTTTGCCTCCTGTCCCAGCAGTGTCTGATTACTTCAAGGGACACATTCAGTTTTCCCCAGTTTTCAAGACATGTTCCAGCTTGACCTTATCATCACTACAGGTTATATTTAGTTAATTATTTTGAGGTCTTATGGCTGGAAGTCTGTTTAGTAGTAGAAGTCATATTGTTTATCACAGTAGTGATCATACTCCTTCAAAACTTCACAGCTCCCCTGCTTTTTTTGTTTGTTGTGTGATTGAGCTTAATTTCTGCCTCATGTGCCCTATTGGCTGCAGCTGGGGGCTTTGAGATTCCTCCCAGGCTGTAGTGACATGATGGCTCACAGCTTAAAAGAGATGGGATACAAGAGTGTGTACTGCTTTTAGTTTCATTTCTCCCTTGTACATGGGTGTGATTTCATTTAAAATGCTTTTAATTTCATTTCTCCCTTGTACATGGGTGTGGTAGCTGATCTCTAGGCACTGACCACATGTAGACACAGGAAGAGGTATTTAGCTGTTAAAAAAGCAAGCATTGCCTACACAGCTGTGCTTTTGTTCTTCTAAGGGAAAAGCACCTGGGGCAAATGCTGTTGCACAGTGAGTACTGACTACCCTAAGTCATAGGAGTTCCCCTCCTTGTCTTTTACCTTCATTTTCCATTGCTGGTGTGCCAGCCTTTTGGATATCTATAGTATTGCCATAGGATAGAGGTTGGGTAAGTCACTGTGAACTTGTGCGACACTATTGAAAACACTCCCTTAATCACAATGCTTCTCTTAACGTGTATTTTGTCTGATTTCAGTGGCTTTTCCTAATATAAAGTTCTCCTATTGAAGTTGTTCAGGGGAAACTGTTCTGCATTTTAATGGGAGCAGACATCTTTGCTGCCTTTGAAGTTACTCCATCAGAAATAGAGGGAAGCTAAAGTTAGATATGCTGTATTTTCTTGTGTGCCATTTCAGCCCTCCTCTGCTGTCACAGCACAAGGCTTTTCACAGTGAGCTTGGTACTGTAGTGCCAAGAGGCACCATGAGGGAAGGGAGCAAGACAGCAGAGAAGAGTGCAGAGGAGGTGCCATTTCACCAAGGATGAAGGCAAGATGATTTCCATCTTGCCATAAGGTTCCAGCCCTCCATCTGAGAAGGTAATAAAGCATTTGTACCAGTACTTGTAAACATGGTAGGACCATTGTGGCTTGAATTGTAAACTTGCTGTGAATATACTTAAAAGTTTCAGAAGCAAATCTACAGATCAGATGTTAAGTCTGAATTTGTATCTGCTGCATTAAGACAGTAATTATAATAAAATCTTAGCATAATTTCTGTTGTGAATAAGGGAAGGCTTTTTCCTTTGTTCATGTTGTTCTATGGTGGTTTTTGTTTGTATTTTGTTTTTTATTCTCTCCTAAACACCAGCAGTTAGTCAAGGCTAGAAAAAGTGTTCATTGCATAAGACATAGCATAGACGTCTAAGGGAAAATTAGATTATCGGTCATTTTTACTTATTTCATGTTCTCCTTTTAGATTCTGTGTCGGAGAGAAGTGGGGGTTTAATGCCAAATTGGTAACATTGACTGACTTTCTCTGCAGTGAAGTCTGTTGTTTCCTGATGGAATCATTTGCATATATTTTTGCCCAGTTTTCTGCCAGTGCAGCTTGTGCTGCAGGGTCTCCTGCAGTGTACAATTTAATCTCTTGTTTTTATTTCACTGAAGTATATGGGTTTCAGCAGGGGTAGCTGGGTGAAAGTTAGTGTCTGCATTATACTGGAGATCTGCTTAAGTGATCTAATGGCTCCTCCTGGCAAAGTCTGTGAAATTACAATAGCAGAAGTAGAGAGAGGAAGGGGATCAAAGGTGGGTGGTAATGCAGGATTCATATAAAAAGGAAGCTCTGTGTATTCTTTCTCTAGAGCAGAAGCTGAAACAGCCCTGAAATTCAAGAAAGTTTAGAAAACTTGAGAAAATTAAATTATGCAAAGGTTGGTGTTCTGACTGGAGGTTGTTCTCTCAGATAAAAGGCAAGAGAACTCCCTTGTACCTAAGGCAAGGAGAATTTCTT